CTAACACAAACTCAGCTCTTATAACGTGGCTAATACGAACACAGCTCTTATAACATGGCTAACACGAATACAGCTCTTCAACGTGGCTAACACTAACGCAGCTCTTATAACATGGCTAACACGAACACAGCTCTTATAACGTGGCTAACACGAACCCAGCACTTCTAACGTGGCTAACACGAACCCAGCACTTCTAACGTGGCTACATGAGGAAACTTCACCATTTACCAAATTTTAAATTTTTGAACCAGGTTTTGCTGATCTCTTCTTATCTATTAATTACTGCTTTAGGGAATTTTGTAACAGGATTAACAGTGATGCTCATTAGTTGTGAATAGTTCATAAGAAGATTACCACAATTAAATCAAAAACCATGTTGTAACTTCTAACGTAAGTCATTGATTTTTAAAATTCAAAAGCATATCTATTATGATTTTTATCTGAAAATATAGCTAAGGTAATAAAAATGCAAAAATTTTTTGAACAGGTTTTAAAAATTTTCCAGCCTGGTTTTTAAATACTATACTGGTAATTTATTGAGAAACAGCAATGCCTGCTGTGATAATGACTCTTAAGTAGAGGTATTCTTCTTTGATGTTTAATTGGATTATTGAGATAAGATTCTGGCAAAACCTGGTTCACCAACCTGCCTGAGTGCCCTTTTAAAGGGTTTGCTGGTAAATGGGATAGTAACAGCATGAACACAAACTCAGCTCTTATAACGTGGCTAATACGAACACAGCACTAACGTGGCTAACACGAACTCAGCAAAACTATGGGTGTACAAAAAAAACCTCATAATAATTTAATAAGTTTGGCTCCCGAGTTTGAGATTCCCGGCATCAAGTGGTCAATCGGAAAGAGAAATTGGTCTGTGCTTCCAATCATCCTCCCCTTCTTCCAATCTTCCTCCCCTTCTTCCGAACATCTAAGATGGTCACGATCTTATGCCCGCTTCGTGTTGGTTTTGGGTCTGTCCTGTAACATCGTCACACCAGTATGTGAAACCGAGCCACAGTACCCGATATACCATACAATGCACGGAAATCTACGGCACAGCATACAAGACACAAGGCATTACCCAGCCAATCATGCATGCAGCCGTTGCACTCAACAAATCAAGGGGAAAAAAACTTTTGCCACAACGCTTCACTCAAATACCGTCGCGCATTTGAGCCATGCTTTAATATTTAAATAACCACACATGATGCAAATATATGCTGAAAGTCATGTTTATTCAAATACAAAAAAAAACACGAACTTGTTACAATATATGAATAGATGACAATATATAAGCTTTATTTTGGTTTAATATTGAAAAATACTGTATCTCCTCTAAAAAAAATTTGTTTTGGTTTTTCTGTCAATTCTGAAAAACAGCTTTACAAATTTTTGTCTCAAACATATTTTTTCTTGAATATATCAAATTGACCTGGCACGAAAATTAGCCTACAATACTAGATCTAAAAGTAACGTCTACTAAAATAAGCCAAATACAAAGTATAAGAGAAAGAGTTTAGAATACTGTGGTGCTGACTTGTGGAACAACATTGATGAGACCACAAACATAGTAATTTTTTTTAAAGATAATTTCAACATAATTTCGATAATTTTTAAGTACAGTTTATTTGGTAGTATCTTTGTTTTTTGGGTTTTTTTTTTTTTTAGTTGTCAGGTTTTCTATTTTTTCCTTTTAGTTTGTGTTTTTGTAAGTAGTTCTTGTTTAGTTGTACATTTTATGGTTAAGATTTCATAATATGTAAATAAAATATGGCCTCGTTGAGGTTGGATTGGGTGCTTTGGGGTGGAACATGGTGTTTTTAAGATTAGTGGAGCGAACGTATTTTTGGCAATTTATTTTATAGAAAGGGATTTGTAGTGGACAGAGATATGCTCTCTACTGAGTGCTCTTGTTATTGGCTTTACCTTATTGGCTTTACCCAGCAGTAGCTGGAAAAGCCATTGTTTTTGTTCTGATTTTTTTTTTCCTTATCGTTTTTCCACCTTCTTGTACTGGGTGACAATCCAGTTTAGGGTGTAAATTTGGGGGTCATTTCAATTTCTAATGTCCGAGGCATAAATATCTCCAAAAACTTAGCAATTTGTCTAAATGAAACTTTCCACATGAGTGTATCATGGTCCAATGATGATAAAATTTTTGTGACGATCCAGAGTAGGGTGTGGATATGAGGACCATTTAAAGGGAAACATCCCAGATGAGATATAGTAAAATTGATAAACTGATCTAAATAAAACTTCAAGAAAGTTTAAGCAAGTTACAAGGAAGCAATTATTACATTTTTGTGACAATTCAAAATCAAGGGTGCGAACATGAGTACCATTTAAAGGGAAACGTCCCAAACCAGATATCCTAAAAACTGTTCAAGCCAATTTGTGCCATCGTAAATGCTAGTATTAGGGAAGGGGTTCTCCCAGAACTTCGGAAATCAGCTGACGTGCTCCCAATACCTAAGGTGACCCCTCCTAAAATTTTGGAGAGCGATCTGCGGCCCATCTCGCTGACTTCGTCTACAATGAAAGTCATTGAGGGAATCATCGTTGAGATGGTTTGGAACCAAGTTAAGCATAGGATTAATTTGGACCAATTCGGCTGTTCACAGGGTGTCAGCACCACCGATGCTCTCATAAGTCTGTTAAATGAGTGCTTTTCTGCAACTGACCAGGGGGATGAAATGAGACTCCGTCTGTTAGACTTGACCTTTAATATTGACCGTAACATTCTTATTAATAAATTATTTAAATTAGGAATCGATGGTAATCTAATCTCTTGGATTTATGCATTTCTCTTAGAGAGAAAACAACGGGTTAAGCTGGCAATGTTGTCTCTCCATGGTTAAAGGTCAATGGAGGGATCCCTCAGGGGTCTTGGTTGTTGTTTATCATCTTTGTCGACAATCTTTTGGAAGGAGTGGCGTGTATGAAGTATATGGACGACACCTCGGTCAACAAGTGCGTCGGCAAGGATGAGGTAAATGGGCTCCAAACCATTCTTGATGAGATTATTGAATGGACAAATAACAATAATATGTCACTGAATGTTAAAAAGTCGAAGGAAATGACAATTAGTAAAAGAGTCAAATCTGATATTTACCAACTCTATATTGGAGAATGTAACCTGGAACGTGTTTCAGAATTTAAATTGCTTGGTGTTATCATATCAGATAATTTATCCTGGCAGCCCCACATTGATTATATAATCAGTAAATGCAATACTAGATTATACTTCTTAAAAAAAGTTCGTAGAGCTGGTCTTAATACCGCTGAACTTGTTCATTTCTATTGCAGCCCCACTGTGGGGTACTAATATCACTAAGCAACAAAGCCAAGTTCTGGAACAGATCCAAAAAAGAGTGCTTAAATGTATCCTTCCTGGTGTTAGTTATAATGGAGCTCGGTCTCTGCTTGAAATGCCAACATTGGAAGAGCGACATGTTCGACTGTGTAGGGATTTCTTTAACAAAATCAAGGATTCTAATCATAGATTAAACTATTTATTACCTACTGCCCGCGATTCTAAATACAATCTTAGAAGACCCCGTCAATTTAGTATCCCGAAGGTTAACACAAATCGATCAAAAACATTTATAATCAATCATGGTTTGTTCCAAAATTGGTAATCTTCCCTGCACAGTCAACATTTCCGTTCTCCACACTTTCTTTTCATGATGCTTTTGTGAGTTTTGTCGTGTTTTTGGGAAACCCTTTTTGATGTTAAACTTCAATCTCTTTTTATATTGATGATTGCAATAAAGTGATTTTGTATTTGTATAAACTAATCGACTGACCTGAATAAAACTAATCAGCTGATCTGACTGAAAATTTAACCATGGTAAAAGGAAGAAAATATTAAATTTTAGTGACAATCCAGATTTGGGTGTGAATTTGAGGGTAATTTAAAGTTCCGAGACATAAATATCTCTAAAAACTTATCAAACTATTCTGGAAAGTTTCATTTAGATTTTATGTTTGAATTTTGGTAATGATCCAAAGTAGGGTGTGCATATGAAGACCATTTAGAAAATATTTTTAAACCAGTAACTAAATTGTGTTTTCTGAAGCGTTGAAGCCAGTTGCAGCTAGGTTATACGCAAAATAACCATGAAGTATGCATGAACAATTTTTGCTCTTAATCACTGAATTACTATGAACTGAAAATGCACTGACCTACACAGGGCCGGCTTTAATGGTTATGAGTTTCCATATTACCCTCGCTATGTTACCATTGCAACTAGGCTATAGTTTGAATTTCACTAACATAGCATTTTTTTTTTTACTTAATATTTTTTGGCTTTTCCTGCCATTGTTTTTGTTCTAATTTATCTTTATTCTTGTATCCTGTTTTCTTTTTCTGACCAGCACTTTGGTCACTTTTCCATGTTCTTCAAACATGACGTCATTCTACACATTTTGAATAATAGTAGCAGTCATAGTTCGAGTTTCCCGTACGTCAAGTTGTTTTTCTTTTTTGTATCTACATAATTCATTTCATTTTTGTTTTTCCTGTTTTTTTACGACTATATAAATTTTTTTTGTAATTTCAACATCACTACTCATTATGGCAATGATAAAAGCTGTTTTGTTTTACAAACATATTTATAAGTCTAGAATTATTATTATTATTATCATTATTATTATTATTATTAATTGTTATTACTATTAATATTTTTTATTATTGTATTTATTATCAGATAATAATAGTATTGGTTGATTTAATTTATTTGTCAATAACCAGTGATACAATACAGAACAATTAAAATGATCACAAAAAGAGGTGATATCTTAAAAGCTATAAAAATATAAGGCATATATAAGTATATATTTATCTATGTATTATTGGTAAATATATTAATGTAATAATAAGTTGATGATGATTAATTGATTATTTGAGTATACAACAGAGCAGTATATGAACTACCCCTGCCCCAGATAAACAAAATAAGAAAAATAGAACTTGTTTGGATTTTTTAAACTTTCAGTTTGTGATGGTTTATGCATGAATGGTGGAGTATGCAACGTCAACAGATTCTATGTTGAGTCTTGTTCGTAAGCATAATTGATATTATTTACTAATGTATATTTTTCATAATTATTGTAATATGTTTTTTCAGTTATTGATAACCATCATTTGTTTATTGTTTAAAAATAGCTGTTGTGCTAGAATCTAAAAATGTCAAAAATAAAATTGCTCACTTCCAGCAAAAGTTGGATCCCAACTTGCACCGTTGACGGGTTGTGAAGCGGACCTCGCTATGTTTCAGCCCCAGGTGCGAGTATTTCATGGCTTATAAATCAAATAAATATTGTTTCCGCCTCTCATATTGGTAGTAACATCAGGCCAGATATACCAAGATATACAAAAAAAAAAAAAAAAACAGACAGTCTATAATACAGGACTAGATTACAACTTTTGTCTTCATTTTTCTGAGGAGAGGTTTTGCTTCTGCTTCAAAATTTAGTTGGGTTAATTATTTATATAGCACTCATTCTGTACTTTTAGTTTTTAAAGTTTAAATCAGAATTATAATTGTAATTATTACCTCATTTTATGGGTATATATAATACAAAAATAATAGTTTTAATGCTGTTATCTCTTTCTATGTTTCTATGTCATCTTTTTAGTGATGAAACTAGTATAGTATTATACTATTTTTAAGTTTGAAAGTATAATACGACAGCCTAAAATTAATAAATTTGAATTAATTTATTTTTGTGCATATGTTTTTCATAAATATTTTGATTGAAAATATTTTGGAAGGTTTGCATGGTGAGTTAAAATAATTTTGGTTTACCATGTGTATATAAATATTTAAAAGGGCTTTTTTTGTAGAAAAAAATACATATTTATAATGTAATTTCTGATTAAATAATGTTTGTTAACCTTAATTTTCCCAAATTTGCAAATACAACATTTTGCATTTGTTGGGATATAACTGTTTTTATTCGGCTTCATGATGTCCTGACCAATGTCTTTCCAGCATCTTAACCTAGGTCGTATTGGCTCAGAAGGTCTGAAACAACCAAGGCCAAAATGAATCTGTGCTGAAACTACATGGATTCATTGATTACATAATTTAATAGTGTCTCAGTGTTTTATATTGCCAAAAATAATGATAAAAATTGTTATACAGTATTTATATCTATATTTCCAATTTTAGGTGTCCTGATGGATACAGTGGAGAAGTGTGTAGCAACAAGGATGGTAAGTGCATATGAGGTCCATTTCTTATTTTCAAATGTACTTTATATAATGATACAAAATAAACCTGGTGGATGTACAGTCCAATGCTTTCTTTATTCACATTCATCTTTCCGCCCCCTCCACTACTCCCAAGTGCAGATCCATGGCCTTGGTTAGTGGCCTAGCTAGGTGTTGACAGACTCAATGCAAGAATAGGTCTAGGCCAGATTGTCAAAACCCAGTTTGCCGCATGCCAGATTGCTGTGTCCACTTTGCCGAAACCCAGTTTGCCAACTCAAAAACTATGAATCCCAAAAGTCAATCAAAAGCATTAAAACATTAACAACAACATAAAGTTCATGATGAAGCAATATCTTATACCGTGGCTGCTTCTGTAGGCTACAGAGTGCTGGAACCATCAGAATCCGACATTGAGAATTTAGAAGCCATCAAACGCGATCACTGTGTGTTCCTATGATAGCAGCTTATTGTAGTTAAATTATCCTTTTTGTCTTTTTCTGACCCGAGTCCTTGAATCTTAATTTGTTATTTAGAATATAATAGGCCCTACTATAATAAATGCCTGGAAGCTTTGCATTTACCACTTATCAAAATGACTTTAGACGGTTTGATAAAAGGAAGCAAATATATTTTGTATTGTCAGCATTTCTCTGCCCACTTACACATCAGGTCCAGACTAAAGACATCTGTTTGAACAGCACTTCTCCTATTCATTCTTTTTCTTTCTCGCATTATTTTTCTACTTTTGTATTTTTTTCTGTCCTGCTTGGCTCTGGCACCATGAGCGCTCCATGCAGATAACGGCGTCTTATAAATATCCAATACAATTACAGTATTTCCCTATACAGGTGTTTGTATTTATTTGCATAGACACAGTAATATGATGCACTGGGCAATGAACAATACAAGATGATAGGCCTATTTTTCGAGAATCTACATACCAGTAATCAAACAAAACATTTTAAAAAAAGTTTAAAAAAATGGTCCTTAAGTCTGCTTATTAAGCATCTATCTGTCTAATATTAAAATATGCAACATAGGCATTGAAAATGATAAATAAAAACTTTCATACTCTTTTTTGAGTATTTGATCACTAGGCCTAGTATATTAAGATGATAAAAAACTTTAATAAATTAATATTAACGATAGGCCTACACGATACAGTGTATGATATTTGCATGTAGGTATTCGATCTACTGATTGAAAATGTTCTAAAAAACAAATCGGCGTCGGAGATACAACGTTGTGTTTGTGTAACTTAAACGGAAAAAATTAATACTTCCTGTCGGTTATTTGTAATGTGCCCTGTAAAGATGTAATTATCATTGTTATTTAGTTTTATTATTATCATTATAGTTATCAATTATTGTAGTTATTATCAAACTTAAAGTAGTCCTTTTTTCTTTTAATATTTACAAAACTGGGCTGGGGGTGGGGGGAGCACCCACTTCGTCCCCTGCTGGATCTGCCACTGTTTAACCACATTTAGCAGAAGTCATATGCTGCCATTGGGGGATGCCCATGGTTGTAGGAGCAGACATAATATTTATTTAGTTAGTTGGGATATTGATTGCATAACTACTTGAAGAAATTGTAAAAATATGGCATCTCTAAATGCCAGGTATAGCAGCTGGAATTTGGAAACCTGCTAAGCAGCTACCCCAGCTGGAAAACTGCAGGCATGTGAGAATGGATCCACGGAATTCCATAGTTATTTTAATTAATGAACTGTTTTGATACAATTCCAGATCCGGGGAGAAAATTATGGGGGGGGGGGGCAGGTACGAAGTGCAGATGATGGTAATGAACTGTACTTGAGCGAAAACAGATAAGACTCAGGTTTGTTTTTAGCAGTTCAGCAATGCCTTTATAGTATTATATGCCGCGGTAATTAAGCTACTCTGGCTCCGACCTATTGATTACTCATGCACGAAGTACTATGAGTTTGTATTGGTTGTTCTGACCAATAGTTGTTCAAATCCAAATGATACCAGTCTTGGAAGGTGGTAATTTTTCTGCAGTACTGGTGGCTGATGCAATATGAAACACATATATCTCGTCTTATATTTTTGTTTCAACAACTCCCACAACTGAATGAGTGAATGTTCCAGCAAGTACTGTATATGTTGTTTGTTTATGTTGAACAATAAATATGAGACAGTTTATGTTTAATGAAATGAAACATTTCTGCTATACTGTATTTACTATTCCTTAAAATATCGAAAATGCTGTCATCGTATTGATTTTTTTTTTATAATTGTAACCAGACTATAGTGATGCCTGCACGGGGAATATCCTCCACGCAAAAAAATAAGCCTAGATATAAGAATCTGATTGCACATTTCTGAAAATAAGGGCTGATTTCCATGCAGATTTTGCCAAAAAATAGGGGCTTTGAATTCCTAATATAGGCTAGTCAATGTATTATGCAGTGGTTACGATTCTGCACACCTATTTTCCGCACAAATTCGAGATATCATTTCAGGTATCATCCGCGTAATTAAAATACTTTACAGTATGAATGGTGAGTAATGAGTTACATGTTAATATCCTATCAAATGATGGAGAGATGATGCTGACGATGATGAATAAATGAGGTCAGGTAGCTAGGTTAGCCTTTACCGTAAAGTAACACGACAAAGAACGATAATCATAATACAGTAATTGCCCAAATTACGGCACTTATGCATGTACAGAAAAAGTAGTCTATGGCTATAATTTGTGTCGGAATTGGAAATAAAACAACACAGTACCTAATCAGGGCGTATGGACAGTAAGCAATTACTACACATTCACAACATTGCTTCGTAGGAAATGCATGCCCATAGGTTGTTAAAATTTCTAACAGGAGGGGATTACCCTCCTGTACCTACCCGCGCTCGGTCACTTCATTCACTCGTGCTGGGGTTTCAGTGGAAATCGAATATCCTTACTCACATGCCTGAACCTGCTAAGCAGCTACCCTTTTTCTGACCCATGGCAGGGGCAGGATACAGGATTTAATGTTAGTAGAAATGGACTAGATACCATACCCACCTCAGCTCCCCACCATATTGAAAAAATAATAGGCTCCTGATAGGAGTTATGAGTATACTGCAGAAACTAGGTCAGAATTACCCTAACAAAGTCAATTATCAGACAAGGTGCTATCAGCCATTGTTCATCTGTCAAAACATAGGACCAATTACCAACTCCCTGATAAAACTAATATTACACTGACAGTATTTGGCATGCATTTTACATAAAAATTCAATGAACTGTAACACATTTCATTTTACAGAAAAATTCCACTACCATAGCATAGAGTATATCTGCGCAAGCGCATTATACTAAGACTAGCTCATCTGCCAGGAAATAGCACATGCATACTTTTATTGTAAAAATGGGAATAACATTATGACAAAAAGGAATATCCTTCACTTTAATATTGTAACTGTAGCTAAAAGAGTACATTCTCTCCATTAAACAACGTCTTCCATGATTAAAATGCTTGTCTCATTATTTAACAGCTGTCTCTTATACACATCTAGATGTGTATAATTGGTCAACTATGCCTGCTGAAAATTTGATGGCGGGGAACACATGGGACTTCAAAGGCATCGCGCAAACGTTCTTTACGCGCTGCGGCAACTTTGATCTTGGTTCATTTGCATAGCGCTGCGTGCTCGTAGATTTGCCGAGTGATCTCCTTCTCAATAATACCTCCATGGTACTATCTTGGAATGAAGCTCATAGGTTATTTTTTTAAGAACACAATATGCTTAGGTTATTTTTTACAAAATGTGATGTTGACCTGCTGAAATCAGAATGCATTGAATGCGATACTATCTACTTGATTTTTTTGCCCTGACCTTTCAAAATCAATCAAGAGTTTATATTATTGACATTAATAATATTCATTTCAGAATACTTTATCATTATTTTCAAACTATTGTATTTTGTGAAGCAGTTGTTTGTCATAATGTTACTCCTATTTTACAATAAAACGGGTTTATTTTATTTTTAAAACAGGTTTTTCAACTTTAGTGATTATCGCTATAGTTCTTGGAGCTGTTGGAGCATTGATATTTGTAATTTTACTGGTAGTTATTGTTTGTATAATGATCCCAAGTCAGAGAACTAATCCAGTGTATGATAACCGCAATGTACGTACAAGAGGACAACCTTATAAACCTAGAGGGAAGTCAAACCGTCAAAGTGAAATGATGTACAGTAGATCATATTTTGACCAAGACCAACAGGTAAATTTATCAATCATTAAGTACAATCTTCTGTGCACAACATGAAATGAGAAATAAATACCGTAAAGGGTAAAACTGCAGTCTTTTACTGAAATGAACTTGACAATGGCTTCATAATTGAATCACAATTTATTTTTTTTTAAATTAAAAAAAAAAAATGATTTAGATTTTGTTAATAATACTGTAATTAATTCAGATTTTAATCTATTAAGAGGGCGGATCCAGAATTTTTAGAATTGGTGATGGGGGTGGGGGAGGGTGGGGGTGTGTCCCCTCCTCACAAAACAAAATTTTTTTTTTAATGGGGACTTCTAGATCGCCGTCAATGGTCGATTCACCATTGTTATGTACTGCTTGACTGATCAGATCCAAACAAAATGATTGGTAAGACAAACTTGGCTTGGTGTAGGCAGTAAAGTACTGGGATGGGAAAACTAGGCCTTTTTTTTTTTTTTTTTTTTTTTGGGTCCGACTGCTCAACGAGCTTTGGCCGATGGGGGGCTTGAGACTGATGGGGAATCAAGCCCCCTGTCAGGCGCTGCCCCGGCTTTTTCAGCTTATAAAACTAAATGACAAAATGTGGCTGATACAAGAATAATTATACAAACAATGGTACTGTGATAGGGCTAGAGTTCATTGTCACTCTAATCCCAGATCAAAGTGGATTGATAAAAAATAAAAAATGGCCCCCAATTATAAAATTTAATAAAAAAAATAAATTTTTAAATGCTGTAAAATACCCTGTAGCAAAAATTGAATTAGGAAATCAAAAGAAACCATATGCATATTTGAAAACTAAAATAACTTAGTTTTTAGCTGATTGATTAATTAATAGATCTTTTTTGTATAGGCGGCTGTTAGGGCTAAGTATTTTTTAATATTATTATTCTTTAAAAAAAAAAAATAATAATTTGATGTTCATATCAACCCATTTTTGCGGGGTTATCAATACCCGAATTGAATTTCTGGAAAATTGTGATTCTGCAAATAAATTATTTTAGTATTAATAAATGCATGATTTATGTTGATTTATTGATTAAATTGTTGCGCCAGTGTTAACACACTGTGATTTGATTAGGCGCCCTCTATGGGCGGTCTCTCGATACTCCATCTTGGATTGATCGGACCGTTGTTTTGTTGGCTGTAATAAAGCTTTGTTGTACACTACTGCTAGTGTGTCCGATTGTAGTCTTTGTACTGTGGTTGTTTCTTTTTCCCACTGGCGTGGTGGCGGCTTCAAGAAACGTTCCCATCCACGGTACTGGTGAGTTCCTATGCCCATTGTTGAGCTAGGCCTTTTCGTCAATCACGGTACATTGACTATCGCTCCACCGTGCGTCAATCGGTTCTTGATTCCCTTTCAAGTGAAAGCACTAGCTGCCTAGGCCTGTTGTTGTGTGGCAACTATGGCTGCTATGCAGGCACCAAAGCAATGGAGTCTTACAAAGACGGAGACTATTAACACATTTGAAAATTGGAAACAGAATTTAGTTTATACCTTAACACTAGATGCTAACTTTGGCCCATTCCTGTTAGATGGCTCATCCTGGAGCCCCAAAACGAAAGCTGCCCCACTCAGGGGTTTCACCGACGACGGTGCTGACGTTCCCGAACAGCGGCGTCGTACGGCCCACCAAAAGGTCACTATCCTGGAGCTTATGCTGGGGCAAATTGCAAATTATTGTCCTGTGATTTCTCGCAACACCATTGTTAAAAGTTCCACTTCCTTATCTCAAATATGGCAAACCATCAGGTTACATTATGGGTTTCAGTCCACCGGTGGACATTTTATTGATTTTGTGGACATCCACCTAGAAGATAATGAACAGCCTGAGGACTTATATCAGCGTCTTCTTGCATTTATTCATGATAATTTGTTAAAGCAAGGTGGCGGTATTTCCCATCATAACCAGGTAGTTGAAGAAGACGAGGAGCTTTCCCCCTCCCTGGAAAATATGGTGGTCCTTATGTGGCTCTCTCTAATTCAATTTTTATTGTCAAACACAGTGAGAACATGGTTTGAAATTCTTCTTGTTTGTTCACAGTTAAAATGT